TCCTCCATGACAAGGACAGAGACAAATCATTGGGATTTGGCCAACAGACCCAAGGCACGTTTTCCCTTGGCCTGCTGCCTCCTGGAAGCCCATGGCTGCCTGCAGTTAGATTGTGCCTACCAATCTGCTTGCATGTTTTCATTACTGGAAAAAAAGCCATTTTATTCCTTCCACACGGGTCTCCTAATAGAGTGCAAGCTTGGTTTCTGATCAGTCTTGGGCATTTGACAGTTGGGACGTGAGATAGCGAAGCAGAGGAAGACGGGTGCTCCCAAGGAAGACAGCTGGCTTCTCATCATGAAATTGGCCAAGAGGTGAGGTGCCTCCTCCCTCCGCAAATACTGAATCGGCAGCCGCCTTCCACTGTGTTGCCAGGAGGAAGCCTGGGAGCTTTTTGGCTAATGCCAAGGGGCTCCTTCCCAGAACGCCTGGCAGACAAACAGATGGGGCAGGAAGGTCAGTAGTGCAGTGCTCATGATGGGAAGGGAGCCTTCCCCTTCAGGAGTCCAGACTGCAGGAAATTCCCCCCGCCCTCAAATTAACCTTGCAGGGGATCCCTAGACAACCTCAGCTACCCTGCCCTGCCCTGCCGCACCAGACCCCAGTTTGACATGGGGGAGGCAGGGATGAGTCTTCTACTATACCAAATGGAGGGCAGTGCCAGGGGCTAATCTTGGAATTGGCACCCTGCAAGGCTGCCCCAGGATCTACTGCAAACGATCTCCCCAGATCTCTGTGAGCAGACAGATGTGGGGTTTCTTAGGAACGCCAAGCTTTCTCTGTCCAGGGCATCTGGGCACAGCTGCTGTGCTGTTCTGTGAGCCACATTTGCCTGGGCTGATCTCTGCCTCCCCACCTCCTTTTTGCATTAGCCTCCTGTATTCCCTGATCGGTTTTGGCTGCATCACCTTGCCCACAGAGGGAGCCTCCATGCCGAATGAGAATGCTGGAAGAGGTTAAAAGAGGGAAAGGGGCTGTATGGAAGCTACAGGGCATTGCCTGCTTCCGCTGCTTGGCACCTGCCTCAGTCTTCCCAGGTTATTCCACCACCCCGGAGAGACCCCAGGCCCAGGACGCTGCTTTTGCCACACACACTACCCCTGCTCCTGAGCTGCTGCTTTGCAACAAGCAGTCAGGCTGAAACTCTCCTGGTGAAGGGAAGTCTTCTCCCTATGTGCCCCCCCCATTCCCACCCTGCAACAAAGCACCCAAAAGAGGCTGACCACTCACCCTGCTGCTGCTGCTGCTGCTGCTGCTGCTAGAGCTAGAGCTAGAGGTGCCTTGGGCTGGCCTCCCAAGCCCCACCTGCTTCTCAGAGAGCCAGGAATGGCAGCTGAAGCAGCTTACGTGTCACCTGGAGACTGTGATGGGTGGAAGGTGTGCTTCCTGAGGCCAGCCAAGGGCACCAGGGATGGGAAGGGGCTGTACCATCACCCCTCCTCATTTGCAGGAGCTGAGGCTGCCTTCTATGCCTCGTGGGCTTCCTTTTGCCAAGCAAGCGGATTCGGCTGGACAATTCACAGGGCAGCCTTGTGCCCAGGCTTCCCAGTCCCTGCAGAGGGAGCTGCCTCCACCAAAGCTGAGCAAACAGAAGAGCTAGTCTAGGAAGGGATTGGGATTGTGACCGAAGGATTCAGACCTGGGAGTGGCATGGAAAGGGGGCAAATGCAAGAGAATGGCATCTTCTGCTATGTAAGCTCAGAGGTGCCAAGGAGGGGTGTCCTGAGGAAGGTGACCAGACACCCCTGCTGCTGTGGGAGGAGGCGGCTTCACAGTTTAGCAGGGTGCTCCCCACTTACCTTTTAGCAAGACCTCTCCCATATGCTAGAGAGGCGTGTGCACGCATGTGCAAATGTGGGCATTTACTCTGAAGGCTTCAGCAGCTCAAATTTCATCAAGACAGACTATGAAAATGCTAGATCGGTTCTGCCTCTCATCTTCTGCCACACACAGCCTCCATACCATGGTGGGCCTCCCTCAGTCAGACTCTCTGCAGCCGCCTTCCCGCAGGCTACAAAGCCCTCCCAGGATGCCTCTCCCACTTCCCCAGACCAAGAAGAAGCCAGCCCTGCAGGATTTCCTCTGTGGAGCAGGAGGAGGAGGAGGAGGGGAACTGGACAGGAGAGTCTGGCTGAAGACCAAAAGGGGAGGGGGAACATTGGCAGACCTGGCAAGCTCTCTCGTCTTCAGCTGAAGGGCTTCCATAGTCTGGCAACTACAGAGGTAAAATGCGCTGATCCCAGAGGCTCTCATACCACCACCCTATAGCGCAGGAGGGATCTGGAGCCTCCAAAAATGAAAGCAAAAGCATTGTAGCGTGGCTGGCTCTGTATGAAATGGTGTGGTCAAGAGCTTATCAGTCTGTTGCTGAAAAGGCCATTTCTCTTGCTAAATCAGTTTGATTGCATATCTGAGGCGTTTTCTTTCATACCTCATTAGAGCAGAACATATGTGAAGCCCCTCAAAATGCAAAGAGTTCACATCTTTTTCAGAAGAATCCCAAGACTCAAAGACTCATGTCTGGACCCAAACAGAGCACTAGAAGGAAGAATCTCGCCTGCAATTTCTGCCTTGCAGTGAGACCCCCCCCCCCCACACACACACCAAACTTAGTTTGCAATGCAAGGAGAGGCTCTGCTCCCTTTGATTGAGGACAGAAACAAGGAGAAACAATGGGAAAGATAGGTCCCGGGGCCTATAAATTGACAGTGCTTAATTCAGCAGAAAGTGCTTTAAAATATGACTGCATCCACATGGGCATAGCTAGTATTTGAAGGAAATCTTTTGTGGATGGGGGACCTGCAGTCTGCCCAGATGGCTTATTTCAGTAGAGGTCAACTCCTTTGCCATCCTGTTTGCGTACTGTCTGCTGAATGAAATTTGGAATCTGCTACAAGATCCGGTGTTGGTGTCAAAAATTAGTGGGACCAGTTTGAGGAAGCCTGGGGGATCGATAGCTCTTAGTGAGGCTGCTTCTGTGGGGCATCTGGTGGGAGAGTAATGGGCTTTCTTGGGCAATTGACAGACATTATGGAAACAGACTCCCTGTTATGAATCAGCATAGATGGATATTAGAGGTTCACCAGTGGGCTCAGGGCAGCCAAGCCTCTCCACTCTGGACACATAAACCATTTTCTCTTAAAGAGGCGTGTATTTCTTCTGAGTCAAGGCAACTGGAGCCAAACCACTTTATAAAGCGAAGGTGCTTTAAAAACCATCAAAGCGTGGAAGACTCTGCCCCCTTCTTCTGCCATTCAAGCCGCCAGTGCCTTCCTCTGCTGTGCCAGTCTTGCCAGGTTTGCTTCAAGGGGACTCCTGCTGTCTGCATCCCTTCTCAGATGGGTACAGAATTGGAGATTGGCTGAAAGTTAACCTCTGGATGGGAATATTCCCTGCAGCTTGTCAACCTATAACAGGCTGCACAAAGTGAAGCTTCATCTGCGGGATACAGGCAGCATATGAAACCACACCCCCTCCGGTCCGTGGAAAAAAATCTTCGTGCACCAGTCCCTGGTGCCCAAAAGGTTGGGGGCTGCTGACCTATAACCATTGCATTTATTCTGGAGCAGCAGGAAACCAAGAGATTTTCCAGGAAGTCCATCCTGAGCTAAAGAGCTGCCACAGTATCGGAGAACCTCAGTGGCACATACCTGCTTGGAAAGAGGTCCTGGTGGTCTGGGGATGGGAGTTGAAGTGGCCAGAGGCTCTAGAAACAAAAACTGGATGCTCAAGGGGTCAGGCAATAGGCCAGCCAGGAGAGAGGCTCCAAGCCCAACTAGTCCGCTGGGCTGGCTCTTGTCCTTCTGTGATCCTCAACTGACAGTCATATGGCTGGCGGATTGAGTGATGACACTCAGGACAAATCTGGGGCAAGGCGCAGCCCCTGGTTGGAGCCCCTTGAAGCAACATCTGTTGGGCTCTCTAGCAAAGGGTGGGAGTCTTCCTTGCCATGCCTAGCTCTTCTTTATACTAGTGGAAGTATTAAGTATGGGCTAAGAAAAGGCTAACTTTTACCCCAACCAGCCTGGAGAAGTTGGCCTTGCTAGCCAGCAGTGATTCCAGCCTGGAAGAGAGCAGGAACCAGCGATATCCCTGGATCCCATCACAGCTGGAACAATTGTCTCTCCAGAAGCAGAAGCCCCTTTTGCTCCATTCAGAGGGGAATATTTTGCAGGGGCCTGCAGCTGCTGACCAGGGGTTCAGTAGGAGACTTTTAGAGGGCTGGCTGGCAGCCAAACCTGGGCCCTTTTGTGTGCTTTGCCCCAGATGATTGTTCCTCAGCCCACTCCAGATCCAGGACTGCAAAGAGAAGAGAGAAAAAGAAGAGAGCCACCAGCCCTGGACCCAGCTTCCCTCCTCCAAGGCCAGAGATACCAGCTTCTTCAGGACCAGTTTGGACCCCTGTGCAAAATGCACAGTTTGCACAAGAGCATCTCCACTCCTTGCCTCTAGATGTGGCTGGGCAGGTGTTACCTACACCTTCTTTGTGGGCTGCATCTTTAGGACTGACGGGGAACAGGATTGGTTACCCAGGAGCGGTTTCATGCGATTTCAAGGGACAATTTATTTATAAGGTAATGCATGCGGGATAACAAATAAATAAACGGCACCCGGCTGCCCGAGCAGGAAATCCTTCGAATTCTGCTCCCGTCACGAGTCCCGCATAATAAGCAAGGAGAAGGAAAAGGGAAGGAAGGCCCCGAGCCTAACGCGTCAATTTCCCTGCCATTCACTCCGCGTCCAACCAGGAGAAAAGGCGTCTCGGTTTCAGGAGCATCCCGGCACTTGGGAACGATGGGCGCTCCGGTTCGGCTCACCGGCTGACATCACGGCATCCCCCGAAAGGCCAGGAGGGAGCAGCGCCGGACTACAAGTCCCAGGGGGCCTCGCTTCTCCTCCAGGAGCGACCTGTTCGCACAGCTTCGGCGGGGCGCCCCTAGGCAGGCGGCGGCGACGCCTTCCCGGGCGGCGGCGGCGGCGGCGGCTCGCAGTCGGAGAGGGCGCGCAGGCGGGCGGCCTCCTTCCGGAGCGGCTCGGCGCCGTAGATGCCGCCGCCCACGCCCAGCACTATCACCGTCACCAGGCGCACCAGCCGCTCCCTCCCGCTCATGGCTGCCGTTGCTGCCGCCCTCCTGCTGCGGCGCACGCGCGGGGACTGGTGCAGTTTCGGCTTCTGCGCTTGCGCCCTCCCTCGGATGGCAGTCGCTATGGAGGCGGCCGTGGAGGCGTCTGCCGGAAGGCCTCGCAGGCGGAAGCCGGTGCGGCGGCCGGAGGGGCGGGAGCGGCCGGTGGCTGGTGCCGCGTCCCCCCGAGGGCTCCTCGCGCTAAGCCTGGCGCTGCGGCTGGCCTGCTGCCTCTCGGTGCGGACCAGCTTCGTCCCGGACGAGTACTGGCAGTCGCTGGAGGTGGCGCACCGGGCGGCCTTCGGGTATCCGGGTCAGCGGCGGGGGTGGGGGGCGGCGGGAGGGCGCCTCTGCCCGTCCCTCCAGTGGAGTCCTTAACGGCGCGCCAGATATGGGAGCCTGACCTGGGAGTGGTCCGAGGGCCTGCGCAGCCCCCTCTACCCGCTGCTCTTCGCCGGCCTCTTCAAGGCGCTGCAGCTGCTGGCCAAGGACGAGGCGCTGCTGCTGGTGAGGGCCGGCCCTGGGCGGGCGGGGCACCTGAGGAAGTGGCGCTTTCTGGGAGAAAAAAGGCCCGTTTTCCCCCGGAGGAGGGAGATGGCTGACTGCCTTTCGAAGAAGCTGCCCTGAACCAATTCTAGCCCGAGTGACAAATGGACATGCCGCCCCTCCCTTCTGCCTTGCGGGCCCATCCCTCAGGCCCTGCCCGGAGTCAGCTGCCAAAATCTTGCCCTTTGGGAGTTTGCTTCCCCATCATGATAACCAGAGCCAAGTCAGGTCAGCCCCCCTGCACTTGACTGGCCATTGTTGCCAAGGGAAGCTGCCCGCCATTTCAAAAGCTGTCCGAGGGAAACATTAGAAATTGCCGAGTGGCACCCATGTTTGGTGGAAGGGCGAAGACTTTTAGCAGAGACCTTTGGCTAAGTCAAACGCAGTCTAACAAAGCTGTTTTGACTTGAAAGCACAAGGCCAGTCTGAAAAATCCAAACAGCGATACTGAAAACTTCTGTGTCAATACAATATTTGGGCTGTTAAGTTTTCCTGCTTTAAATGTGGTTTTGGAGGCTTTCTGTTTTAATGTATGTTTGCATTTTAGTGAAAGATCAGATTTCTCTTTGGAAAAAGCAAAAATTACTTCCACGTTCTTATTGTGTCTCATCTTCTAACAGATTTGGCTCCCTAGGGTTTTCCAGGCAGTTCTGGCAGCATTTGCAGACGTGAAGTTATATTCCTTGGCCAAGCGACTGGATAACTTTGAGACGGCCCAATGGGTGGTGAGTCTCAGCCTCTCCCCTCAGTCTGCCAGCTACCTAGTGGTCTGAGACCTGACAGACTTCAGACCAAGGAATTTGCTGTGGCTGGGCCCCTCCATCACACTGCTACTGTTCCTTGGTTTTGTTCCCAGTACTTTTGCCAGTTGTGTTCTTGGTTCACGTGGTATTGCTGTACCAGGACCCTCACCAACACCATGGAAGCAGTTCTCACCATCTTTGCTCTTTGCCACTATCCCATGGAAGGCACCAAAATGGAGAGCAGGTTAAAAACTTTGTATCATGGGATGTGGGGGCAGTGTCAGACAAATTATTCTCAGGCGGTTTTCTTGTGCTTGGCTGGTTTCCCAACATGTTTTCTTCAGAACAGCTTTTCCCTACGTTTTTTCAGCCTTGAGCTCAGGGACTCCTCTCTTTTGTAAAATGCATGGATGCTACAGCTCTATGTACCTTTACATTTGAATAAACGCTAGGGCTGTATTATTGTTGGGAGCCCATCTCAGTGGCTTTCCTGTAGCTGTTCTGAAGTTTCCCACCTGCTGCCTTTCCAGCCGCTGCTACTTAGCCCTGGTTGCACTGGCATGCATCATCCGCCCGACAGCTGCCATTCCGTGGGCTCCGCTGCTGCTTTGGCACTTTGGAAAAGAGTCCAACAAGAGGCGGTTCCTCTGGGGTGCTTTCCTTCCAGTAGGGTAAGTAGGTCTTACTTGTGCTTTGTCAAAATCACCACAGTGAACATCTCACCTTTTAAACAGTACTCAACAATACAGAAATGAAAGGAAGCATTATTGGACTCCAGGAAATGCTGTGCTTGGCATGGCATGAATGGGAAAGAGCAGAGCAAAGTGGAGTTGGTTGCGGACAGGTGTGGGAAACAATGCATGGGCCATCCAGGGCCTCATGAGGGGGAAGACCCTAGGCAGGAGAGAACCTGTCATTTTGCCGTGGAACTCTTGCTTTTCTTTTTTAACAGACTAATTGCTTTGGGAGGTTCGTTAGTAGTTGACAGGATCTTTTTTGGCAAGGTAAGCTGGTGTCAAATCCTCCAAGGATTGCTGAGCCTTGAACCCAAATGCCTGGGAAGGGCTGCTGGCCCCTCACTGTCTTTCTCTGAGGTCTGCTACAGCCTATGTGGGCCACCAGTCCTGCCTCACCTTTCTATGCTTGTCCCAACTTCTCTCCCCGCTTTTATCTGTCCCCATTTTCAAAAGGGCAAGACACTTGGCTTGCAAGAGAAACTGGTGAAAGATTGAGCCCAGGCCTTTTTTTGAGGATCAGACCAATGCAGGGTGGAGGTTGTAGGCCCTCCCCTTCATGTGATTCCTAGCTCCTTTTTTCCAATGGTGTAACTCTGTGCTGGAGATGGTGATGGTGTAGGAAAATGGGTTGCATCAAGGTGATGCCAGTCCTTGCCAAGCAAAGCAAATTCTCCCCCAGCCCGGGCTTGAGACTGTGAAACATACCTTTAGGCTGAGCTCAGTTGCTGGAGTTTCTTTTCCTTTGTCCAATTTCCCAGCCCACCTTAGAGCGCTGACAAGCTGGCCATCTCCCATGGGAGCCTCAATCAGACCTGACCCTGCTTGCTTTTTTTGCTCTGGAACGGGGGGAACTGGACCAATGTGGCTCCTGAATGTCCCCCCAAGGGGCGCAGAGGAAAATTGCAGGCGTTCCTGTCATAGGGCAACCTGGCTATTCTTTTTCTCATTCCTGCAGTGGGTCGTGGTTCCCCTCAACTTTCTGAAATTCAATGTTCTGCATGACCTGGCCGCCTTCTATGGATCCCACTCCTGGCACTGGTATTTCACCCAGGGCTTGCCAGTGATCCTTGGTCCCCACCTGCCTTTCTTCCTCCATGGCTGTTTCAGTGCCCCAAGGAAACATCGTGTGTTCTTGGTTGTTGTGCTTTGGACCGTGACAGTCTACAGGTACCCCATGTTCCTGTTCTGAGATTAAGGCTTGTTCCATGCCCTTGCTCGTTACTGCTTTGGATTAAGGCTCCTACTTCCCTGTCCTGTCCAGCCAGAGGTGGCTTCATCAGCTTGCCCGTAATCAGCCAAGCAAAAGGGAGCCCCCTGGCACATGGGCTGGTGACGTTCTGCACAGAATGGAGCCTTCCAGGTTTTCTGAGGAAGAGAAAAGCCTTGGACTTATTCAGGTAGAAGCCTGGGGGGGGGGAGGGGGGATGGCCATGATGGCCTTGCCCTGTCCATTTCTTCCAGTGTTCTTCGTCACAAAGAATTCCGATTTATCTACTCCATCCTGCCCATCTGTATGCTCTTCTGTGGTAAGCACTTTGGCTTGATGGATATCGTCTTTTGTGGGATCCCTCTCCCCTTTTCCAAAGAAGGGCCAGCTGTTGTGCAGCGCCAGTCCTGGTAAGTTCTGTAAAAATGGCCCACGCCCGTCCCAAACATCGTGGCAGCCATGGCCATCTGTCCAACAGCCAAAGCCACTTCCCCCTACTTCAGTTTTCTACCATACGGAGATTCTTTTATTTATTTTCTTAATATTGTGGTCCTTGAACTGGTGGTCCTCAACTTACCAGAGTTTGCTTAGTGACTTCAAAGTTACAATGGGCACTGAAAAAAGTGACTTATGACCATTTTGCACACTTAGGACTGTTGCAGCATCCCCAGGGTCATGTGATTTACGTTCAGATGCTTGGCAGCTGACTCACATTTATGGCGGTTGCAGTGCCCCGGGGTGACTGACAAGCCAATTCAATGGGGGAGGGGACCAGATTCATTTAACAATGGTGTTACTTAGTTTAACAACTGTAGCGATTCACTTGACAAATGTGGTAAGAAAAGTTGTGAAACCTCAACACATTTCTCACTTAGCAACATAAATTTTGGGCTCAGTTGTGGTTCCTAAGTTGAGGACTACCTGTAATTCACATCCTGAAGTGACAATAACTTCCGGGGTTTGCATTGTGTGTGGAATAACTTCAGGTAATTATTCGCCATTTCAGAAGTGAGCACACACCTGGTGTCCTTCCCCGGCCGAGCACCATCCAGCAGATTCTCTTGAGCAGCCCTTTGGGTGGTGCCTCCAGCCTGGCTCTTTCAGACTAGCTCATTTCCGTAGGGCATTCTCTGGTTCAACTGAAGAGGTGGAGAAGGGCTGCTGTCTCCTTCTTGCTGAGCTCTAACCTGCTCCTTGCCCTCTACACTGGTTTGGTCCATCAACGTGGCACTCTTGATGTGATGGTCTACCTCCGGGAGCTATGCAGTCCTTTGACCCAAGGACAGACATCCATTCTCCTGCTAATGCCCTGTCATTCAACTCCTTTATACAGGTAAGGCCGAGGTTCTTGTCTAGCAGGCAACTTGTCTCCTCCTACCCTGGAATGGTATTTCCCAAAGACCGAGAGTGATAAAAGGGCATGTTCAGGAAGTAGTCTGCCTTGCATTTTTACTTCAAGGTGGGCGAATCTTTGTTGCCTTGTAGAGACCTCTGGCAAGCCTCTAATCTCTCTCACCATCCTTTTGATGCTTTTTTATCACACACAAAAAAAGGCAGGAACGGTGGAGGAATATCAGCCCAGTCAGCTCCCCTTTTCAACTGTTGTGGGTTTCTTTTGCTCCTAGCCATATTCACTGCCCACTGCAAATGAGATTTCTTCAGTGCCCTCCAAATTTGATGGGAAGAAGCAACTACCTGGATGAGGCTGACTTATTTTACTCTCACCCTCTCCCGTGGCTCAACAAAGAGTTTCCTAACACTACGCAACTACCCTCCCATTTGGTCTTCTTCAATGGACTTGAGCAGGTAGGAAAGCCCGAGCCTCCTGGTCAGCAGAGCCGCCTTAGCAGGGCTCCTTCAGCAGGGAGCCTCACCGCCAAAGGGGGCCTGTGTGTTCTGACACGCCTAAAGAACTGCATTCTGGTAGCGGAGCCCACCACCCAGTGGTGGGATTCAAGTATTTTTACCACTGGTTCAGTGGGCTTGGCTTGGTGGGCGCACTTTGTGCGCATGCACATTTTGCATGTGCGCCAAATGCGCACTTTGCACAGGTGCAGAGGCATTCTAACTCCCCTCCTGCAAGTCTTCACGATCCCAGTCGCTTCAGCAGCTGCCGCACAGCACTCTTCTATGCTGTGCAAAGCAGCTGTGCTTCAAATTCAGAGGATAAAGGTGTATGGGAGCCCAGGTGGGTAGATCGGCCCAACAGCATAGCGGTGGAGAGAACCGGTTTGGTCTCCGCCGCTCATCGCTGCTACCGGCTCGGAAGAACCGGTAGAATATCACCACTGTCACCACCCCGTGCCTCCTTCACAAGCTGCATTGCATGTCCCGATAGTAGCACATAGTAAATGTTAGTCTCCTTTAGGGTAAGGCAGAATGAATCTTGCTAGCTCAAGATAACAGTGGCGCAGTAGTTAGAATGGAGTACTGCTGAATATCTCTGCAATTTGGCAGTTCGAATCCCACCAGGCTCAAGGTTGACTCAGCCTTCCACCCTTCTAAGGTGGGTAAAATGAGGACTCAGATTGTTGGGGGCAAGAGGCTGACTCTGTAAACCGCATAGAGAGGGCTTGTAAAAGCACTGTGAAGCAGTAGTCCTAAGTCTAAGCGCTATGGCTATTGCTAATCAGAACTGGCTGTTTTTACTTAGTGGTTCATCAACATCATTCTGGATGCTTCAGTGTATTTTCTTTTCAAAATCAGTTTGCCCTTTTTTCATTGGTGTAACTAAGATTTGGGGAGAGGAGGCAATCTACTAGTCTTGTTGCAGCTTTCCAAGCGAGTTGTTTATTGAACAAACATTTTTCAAAGTAGATGCCATCTCTGTAATCCTTAACTGTATTTTTTTCCTGTATTACAGGAAATATCATCATTTCTGATTTCAAACAGATATGTAAAAGCTGCCAGATTCTTTCACACCCATCTGCCTCAAGGACGAGTTGGAAGCCACATTTATGTGTTCAAAAAAATATTTTGAAGATTGACAGAAATTGTTTAAGGGCTGGGGGGGGCGGGGGGGGGGCTGGGGCTGGTGCAAGAGAAACAAGAAAGCAGCAACCCCTAACCTGAAGTCCGTGGCTAAGTAAGTCCGAAGAGTGGCTCTGGAGAGATGGAAGGTGCCACTTTTTGTTTTTGCAAAGGTGGCCTGGTCAGACTATATGCAGCTAGGCAAACCTCTAAGAAGAGAGAGCTTGGAACCACTTTATTTTGTTTTTTTTACAATGTACAGATGTGCAAGGAAATTTAAAAGAAAGATGATCAGAACAAATCCCATCGTGATCAGAGTAATTAAACAGCTATCAAGATGTGCTTCTGGAGCATGAGATGAAATCTGTACCATATCTTTTAGTAGAACCAAGTACCAACATGTGCAAAAAAAAGCTTATTTTACAACTTGTCTAAAGCTACTGCTTACCCTGTTGATTTATTGTAATAGTAGAAAGCAGCCCAATTAATGCTTCCCAAGAAGACTGCAAGGCAGGAAGAAGGATGGAGACGAAGCCAGTGGATCTTTGGGCCCTGGTGAAAGCTGTCAGGGGGGCCAATCACGGAGGGTTTTTGCCAGCCTGCAGGGCTCCCACACCCCTTCAGTACTTAGTGTCAAAAGGGAGCCGCCCCACTTCAATCTCCAGGTTTGCCGTGTGCCTCCCATTGCTGCGGCCCTGCTTTTGCCATCGGCTTTCCCTCTTAGAACGCTGCTGGTGCTTTGGAAGGTGTCTTTCCTGCTGAGGGCTGTAGGAGAACATGAAAGAGGGGGGGGGGGGCTTACGGGGGTGGTGTGTAGAAAGGAGGGGAAGGAAGCAGTGCCCTTGGAAGCCTCAGGTCCAGGTGTTCCAACTCCTTGTCAAAGGAGCATGCTGTGGAAGTCCCTAGTCTTTTAATATTCCCGATACTAGTGTTTCATGGGGGCAAAGAAACTGGCCAACAGACCAGCAGTCCTTGTAACTTGTACCCTTAACATGAGCAGGGATTGCCTTTTCACTTCTCGGCTGGAGAGAAGCCTTCCTTGCAGAGGTATCCCTATGATCCCCACCCCCAATGTGCAGCCCCCCTCCTCCTTCCCTCGTGCTTTGCACTCACCTGGATCCACACGGAGGTATCTGGTTATAATGATGAAAGTAGTACTGGTATATATACTTGTCCAGGCTTTCGAAGGCTCTGTCACTGGCTCTCTGGTATTCTTCCATGTCTTCAAGATAGTTTTTGACATCGTTGACAAAGTCTGAGAACAGCATCTGGTCATGAATAAAGACACCGTTGCAGAAAAAGTTGCTGATGAAAATTTCCAGTTCTTGCCAATGATGAAAGTTCTTTACTTCTTGCTGCAAATATTTGTGCATTAATTGATTAAATTCATCAGCCCTAATAGGATCCAGGACTTCGTTGAAGAGGCTAATAAATTCTTGGTGGGCACAATCAAAAATGCCAGAACAGCCTTTTAGGACGGTGTGATGCTTTGGGCTACCTGTGGGGCCCTTGGGACACTGTCCGGAAGCAGCGTCTGTGGATAATGGCGAGAGGGGCTTGGTGTCTTCTGCCCGAGGTCTCCTGTGGCCAAACTGCCTTTGGCTTCCTGGCTCCCGGTGCTGGGCCGGCTTTGCAGGACCTTCACGAGAACTGTCCGTCTGATGCATGGTCCTCCCTTTTCTGTTAGTCTCATGTCTTCTGTCGCCATACCTTTTCTTCTCTCTTCCATCAAAGATATTTTTTGTTGTATCCTTAAAATGTCTAAAAGTGGACTTTACAGAATCTGAGAATTTTCTCAGGTTCTCTTTCACGGCTTCTTTGGCCTGCTTGATTTTCTCTTTATGGTGGCGTACAAATTCCTTGGTAGAATTCTTCATTGCATCAAAAGTTTCTTTTACAGAACCAAAAAAAGTTCCTTTTGGCTTGGCTTTACTTTGGCTTCCTCCTTTCCCTGCCGGTTTCTGGGCTTTTTCTGCTCTCTCTTGCTTCTCTGCATGATCTTTAACTTCAATGTACAGCTTCTCCCACAAATCTGACCGCTGCTGTTCAAAGCTGAGCTTCTTCTCCAGTTCAGTCAACATTCCTCGCAGGGTTTCTATCTCTTGGCTCTTGTGCGAACCGGACTCTGCCACCAGCGGCACATGCTGAGAGCCCAGCTTTTCCAAAGTTTCCCGAAGTGCTATGGTCTCTTGACGTTCTTTATCGAGCTCTCTTCTCAGCATCTGAGCTTCAGCCAGTAGGGTCTCCTTTTGTTTCACAAAGCTCTGCATTCTGTATTTTTCCTCCTCCAAATGCGCTTTGAGTCTTTGGTTTTCAGTCACAACCAGTGACTCTGGGCCAGGGTCTTTGCTCTCCAAGTGTCTTACTTGTTCCCTCAGCTTCCTCAGCTCTTCCTGTAGCAGTGCCAAGGCTTTTTCCTCTCTCTGTAAAGATTCTCTCAAATGCTGGTTTTCTGAAGCAAGGTGATGTTTTTGAGATTCGAAAGATTTCTTTTCCATCTGCATTGCAAGCCAGCACTTTGCAAGGCCCTCCTTCAGCGACTGGGTGGAAAAAGAAAGCACACAAGTTGCACAGAAGGAAAAATAGACTGCTCCTAGCCAACAAATTTAGCACCAGCAGAATTATAAGAGCAGAACGCCTCCCTCCCTCTACAGAGAAAGGGCATTGAGGTGCAAAGAAGTTCTGTTCCGCACTTTGTGTTTTGATGTGGGACAAGCCCTTGGCTTCTTCACCTTTGCCTCAGACTTAGTGACTGGTGGCTTTGCAGCTCAAAGCTTGAAGGACAACAAATACAATGTGTTGCCTCAACTTGTTTTTTGCCTGCTTGAAGTGACAAAGCTGCAAAACCTTGTAAGAGTCTGTAGGGAATGGAAGCATTCTCCTTACCCCACATGGTGTTTTACTGCCTTGTTGGCACTGCAAAAGATCCCCCTTCATATCATTCAGTTTGTCTTCGTGAATCTTCTCCACTAGTTCCTGTCGTTTTTGGATCTGAACTGTACCTTGAAACATAAAATTTTCTTTTTTATCTGACAAGAAAAATGGGAAGTTAGGCACATCTGAGACACATCTTAGAGACACAGCTTATTACAGAGACAAGTTTTCTTTCTTTAGTTTTATAAAGTGAACCATTACCTGATAGAGCAGATTGAAATGCTCAGCTTTAATAAAAATGAAAGTTGATACTGTTAAAGCAGCGGATTGTATTGCATGAGGGCACAGGTGCCATGGGAGCATCTACCTCACAGCCAGCCTCACCTTAACACCTATTTTGAAAAGAGTGAACTGGGCAGGGGAGGGGAGGGGAGGGGAGGGGAAGAGGCAAGCCTACACCAGCCTTCTTTGAAACAATGGTTGCACCAAACTGCAGCAGCCTGGAATGGAACGGGGAAATGTCAGTGACCGAAGCCTGCACCAGCAGCCACTTGTATTACAAGAACTCATGCAGCAACGCCCCAACAAACCGAAAAGACCTCCTGGTGTCAAAGGAGCAGCAGCCACGGCCAAAGGCACTCGGGAGAGCAGCACTGACCTCAGGCCAGATACCCGGTTCCAGGAGAAAGGGCAGTTAAAGATTATCTTGCCCACAGCAAAAACAAAAACAAAGCAAAGATGGCTAAACTCCGTTTACAGCAGCCCACTTCAATCATGTCTCTTACCTTCAAATTTTCCTAAGGACAAAAGCAGATGGATATCAGCATTTTTCTGATGGTAAGTGTAATGTTTTCTACCTCCAAACCAGAATCTGGGACCACCAGAAACCAATAAACACTATTTGATTGATCTAAGATTCTGAGCCACTTCATTACAAAACCAGAATTTTGCCCATAATTTGTTTCCCATCTAAAGAAAATTCTGGAGGATGCTGAGATATGTTTCTCAGCTGGTTTGTTTACATTATGTGACTGGGCACGGAGTGTCCACATGTGGTCCATGGCGGATTTACAAAAGGATTTTTCTGCAACACAAAAGGCTACGTCTGAGGAGCGCAGGCTCCTGTTGCGTAGTTTTTCTCTGGAGAAGGCCTTTCCCTCGAACTCTGGGCTGGGACTGGAAGTGGACTACAGCTAGCTATAAAGGGAGTTCCACATCTAATCCTAATTTTGTTTCTGGGGTAAGTGGTTAGAAATGTTAGATTCTGCATGTCTGGCGAGTGGAACCATCACCTGATCGGTCACTGCAGGAATCACCTACTTTTGCCAATGGATCTCAAAGGGATTATCCCATAAGAGGCAGTGCTTGGCTCGAGCCCACGACTCGGACATGAAAAACGAGTTTGGACTCTCCGTGTGCTAATCACTACCTAGAACTTTCCTCTTTAGTCCTTTGCTCGGTTAGGAGAAAAAGCTTCTTTCCCAGCAATTCTGATCTTGAAATTTATTTTTATAAATAAAAACAAAAACAATAAGAACTAACAAAAAGAATCAAATAAACTAGTAAAGTACAATAGAACAAAATTTGGGAAAACGAAAAACAAAAACAAACTTCCACCCCCCACCCCGACGACAGCGGATCACACTAGCCATTCCTCCATCCCTCTCTGGGTTCCCCAGGCCCACTGGCAAAACCAGGTCTTTAGTGCCTTTTGGAATAGCGTTAATGAGGGGGCCGTTCTAATCTCTGGGGGGAGGATGTTCCAGAGAGACAGAGCCACCATAGAGAAGGCCCTTCTTCTGGGTCCCACCAGGTGTATCTCCCTCAGGGGTGGGACCCGCAACATCCACTGCCTCCCTGCTCTGGTGGGTCGGGTAGATGTTCCCTCAAATAACCCAGTCCCAAGCCATGAAGGGCTTTAAAGGTGACAACCAGCACCTTGAATTGCACCCAGAAGCAAATTGGCAGCCAATGCAGCTCCTGCAGGAGAGGTGATACATGTGCACACCGGGGTCTGCACAAAACCATGCGGGCCGCTGCATTTTGCACCAACTGGAGCTTCCGGATGCTCTTCAAGGGCAGCCCCATGTAGAGCACGTTGCAATAATCAAGACAGGAAGTGGCCAGGGCATGAGTGACTGTGAGTAGGGACCACTGATCCAGGAAAGGGTGTAACTGGTGCATGACCCACAGTTGCGCAAAGGCCCTCCTGGCCATGACTGCCACTTGCTCTTCAAACAGGAGTCGTGAGTCCAGGAGAACCCCCAGATTACGCACAGGGTCTGTTTGGGGTAGTGCCACCCCATCCAAGACTAAAGGTGGTAATTCTCTCTGAACCAACGAACCCCAGACCCAGAGCCACTCGGTCTTGCATGGGTTTAGTTTCAACCCATTGCTCCCCATCCAGCCCCTAACAGCCTCCAGGCATTGCGAGAGGGAGGACACAGCAACACTTAACTCACCACGGGCCAAGACATTCAGCTGAGTATCATCAGCATATTGGTGATACCTCAGTCCATGGTGACGGATGATCTCACCCAGCGGTTTCATATAAATGTTGAACAGGAGCGGAGAGAGTACCGAGCCCTGCGGAACCCCGTAAAGCTGAGGACGAGGGTTGGATCTCACCCCTCCAATCAACACTGACTGAGAGCGGCCGCAAAGGAAGGAAGTGAACCAAGACAGCACAAGGCCTCCCACTCCCATCCCCTGAAGCCGTCCCAGGAGAATCCCATGGTCAATGGTATCAAAAGCCAGCAAGAGGTCAAGTAGAGCAAGGATGGATATATAACCCCCATCCCGCTCCTGCCAGAGATCATCCAAAAGTGCAACCAATGCTGTTTCTGTCCCAAATCCAGGCCTGAATCCTGACTGGTAGGGGTCGAGATAATCTGTTTCATCCAGAAACCTCTGGAGCTGCTGCGCAACCACCTTCTCAACAACCTTCCCCAAAAAGGGAAGATTGGAGACAGGTCAGAAATTATCCAACCGGGTGGAGTCCAGCGATGGCTTCTTAAGAAGAGGGTGGACTAAAGCCTCCTTAAAGTGCTAGGGCACCGTCCCCTCCTGTAGGGAAGCATTAACCACCGCCAGAGTACACCCGCCTGACTCCTGGGAAGCTTTCACAAGCCAGGAGGGACATGTGTCTAAAATACAAGTGTTTGTGCGCATACTCCCTGGGATCCTGTCCACTTCCTCAGGAGCAACAGGGTCAAACCATTCCCAGATAACAGGGCAAGAACCTGCCACAGAAGCTTCCACCGGATCAGCAACCACGCCGGCATCCAACTGGGAACGAAGTCAAGCGATTTTGTCTTCCAGAAAATCCGCAAATTCCTCAGCGCGCCCCTTCAGGTGGACCTCAATCTCCTCCTTCCCTAAGAGGAGATGGCTCACCTTAAAGAGGGTCGCTGGGCGATTATCTGCAGATGCAATGATTGTGGAGAAGTATTTACATTTCGCCTCATGAATCACCACAAGGTAGGCCTTAGTAGCAGCTCTTACCCGTGTTCGATCGAGTTCATCTCCTGTCTTCTTCCGCCAGCGGCGCTCTAGACGTCTCCTCATGCGTTTCATCCCTCTCAGTTCCTCTGTGTACCATGGGGCACAGAGAGGTCTACGGATGAGGAGAGGTCGCAAGGGTGCAATCCTATCCCAAGACTCAGTCACCTTCCTATTCCAAACAGTGACTAAAGAGCTCGGCTGGACTGCATAATAGATCTGTAGTTATAACCCCCACCACCTTCTGGAACCTATCTGGATCCATTAGTCGATGGGGATGGACCAACCTAATAGGTCCTGCCTCCCTGTGGGAGGAGGCAGCTTTTGAGAAACTCATTGCCACCAGACTGTGATCTGACCATGACAAGGGGACCAAGGAGAGGTCTACCAATTCCAGGTCCCATAGACACTGCTCCGACAAGAACACCAAATCGGTGTGTGTGACCACTATTACTAGTCGGGCTCTGGATAATCTGGGACAGGCCCATGGAAGTCATGGTTTCTAGAAATTATTTTATAAATTAAATTATTTTCTATAAATTATAAATTATTCCTTTATGACCCACCCTTCCTGGAGAACTTCAAGACAGCGTATACCCTACACACTCCTATTTTGCCCCACAGAACCCATCCCACGAGGCTCTGGCCTCAGATTCCCCCAGGTAGCAGCAGCAGCCGCCTTGCCCTTTTTCAGCCTAGGCTGGGCTGTGTGAAGCCCCTGACAGAGTTTCTTAGCATTTCCAAAGCCCCAACTTCTAGTGGCGCTTCTGTCGACGACGGATCAGAGACCGCCGTCGTGCACAGCTTTGATCCGTGTTTCTCTTGTTGGAAGGGTCCCTACGGAACCGGAGTCATCTGACCCACCTCAGAGGGATGGGGGAAGAGGGGGGGACCGCCAGCTGGGTCGAGGGGAGCCGCATCTCCCCTCCCTAGCTAGGTATTACTCCCCTGAAAGACAGGGAGAAACGGCAGTCTAAAATGGCTGCCCTGAAGACGGAAAGCTGGAGCGGTGAAGTGGTGAGTGACATGTAACCAGATAAAAGAATTTGATTTTTTCTTAACCCCGAGAAGTAGAAAGAAAAAGCCCTTGCGCAAGAGTATCACAGCAGCGAACGGAAAATAAGAGGAAAATACAAGGTAAACAAAATTGTTTAAAATTAAGTATAAAAAGTATAAAAAGCTACAATGAAATTAGAGACTAAATTTTGAATAATATAAATTGGCATTAATTAGGCATTGGACAAAATGCTGGACTTGCCTGGAATTGGTTATTATTAAGAAAACTAATCGTGGAAATGGTTGGAAATTAATGTTTAATATAATTAAAAGAGAAAAGAAAAGAACTTTGAAAAATGGAAAGTGATACAGAGTGCCATCTAATGTCAAAGATTTTTTCCCCCTACAAAATCTTATGGAAATTTACTGGTCTCATAACTTAAAGACAAATAAAATAATAAGAACCCCAGAAACTTTAAAAAGGGAGAGAAATTCTACTAAGAGGATATACAAACGCAATTCCCTGGGACTGTTGGATGTTGATTGTGACAAAGAGACAGAAGAATTAATAAGAGAAACAAAGATAAAAGGAGACTTTTGGCAAGGATTGCAATAAAAGACTTTGAATATCAATTACTTAACTGATTATAAAAAATGGAAGAAATAAGCAAAGACCTTAAGTTGGAATTGCAAATTGTAAGAAGAATGCTGAAAGAAAGAAGGGAATTATTGGACATATTGGAAAACAAAATAATGGCGATGGAAGAAGAACGAAGAAATTCCAGTGAGGCAGAGTTAAAGGAAGAAGAAAGTGGCTCAGATAGACATGGAGAACAAGAGATACTGCCAGAAGACACTAAAGGAATTAAAACTATGACATTGATGACAGAGTCAATAAATAAAAGAGAAAACGCTTCCAGGATTAAATGAAAGAAGAAATTATACAAGAAGAAACTTCAAAAAACAGAACAGGAAAGAGGGGGTGGGGGAAGAAGATGGGCGAAATATTAGAAGGAAAAAAGAAGGAAGACCAGGGAAATTTAGAAAAGGGAAAGTTGGCTAAAATTAAAAGAAATAATAAAGCCGAAAAATTCAGAGATAAGGGTTAGGGATTCTATAAGGGGGATACCACATGGTATATTGGTATTTAGTTTAAAACCTGCTGGGAAATATCTTAGGAATGCATAATTACATACATACATACATACATACATACATACATACATGAACTGTATATAAAATGTATTGTTATGAACTCTTTTGTTTTTTGGAGGATTAAAACAAGGGAATGGAAATGAATTAAAAATATGATTTTATAAGTAAAGTGAAGATAAAATGAGATATACTAAGAAGTTATTTTAGTGATTTGCTGGAGGGGATATATACAGTTGACTCTATATACAGTTGATTATTTAATGGATATTAGATGCGTATAATGAGAATATTTTATTATGATTAAAGTAGGGGAATGGAAAATACCATGTGGATCCTAAATATATTGGCTTTACTATAATTTTACTCTTCTCAGATTGTTTATTATATGTTGGCTTAGAGAAAATTAAGGACAATAATGATGTGTAATGCAAAATAAAATAGGTGGTAAGCTGAAAATGGAAATAATAGGGGAATAAAGAATTGAAAACTTATGTATGGATGAAATTATATTGATATTGAATTAATGACCTGAAATATGAAATGCAAATTTATTTAAAGATGAGTGAAATGGATAATAATATTAGCTAACATTATATAAGATTAACGGAAATGAAAGTATGACTATGTACAAGTGTTATAACCTGGAAACATGTTGCTTACGTGAAAAGATGTGTAAAATTTTAAAAATAAAAAACTTTTTACCAAAAAAAAAAAAAAAAAGCATTTCCAAAGCCCCAGGCTCCCGTTTTGCCCCTTGAAATACTTCGCTGCACTCACCATAGAAATGTCCAAAGCCCATGCTGACCGCAATCACCAAGGCGAGGATAATGCATCGGTTCAGGCCACTGCTCAGCAGGTGCTTGGGCTGCTTAACTTCCGGGTCATGAGGTGGCAGGCCTTCCTCAGACTCTGAGCTGGAGAGAAGCCTCTTCTTTGCCCTCCGGCGCCTCAGGGCAGGGCTGGAGCCATGGCTGGTTTCATCACTGCTGGATTCCTCTCCACTTGGCTGCAGTGGAAAAACTGGGCAGCAAATTCAAGCAGTGAACACAAAGACTGTGGGATTCCCAAGCAGTAGCAACAGCAGCAGCAGCAGCATCAGGCCTGAAAGGGGGCCTGCTCAGGCCAGGCCCTTCCACCCCCCCACCCACCCCCCACCGGCGCCTTCCTACCCTTGTATGCCAGAGCATGCCGCAGAGGCATCCCTCTATGCTTGCTGGGACCAGCTGTCAAGCAGACACCTGAAACTCTCTGTGCCTGCTCTGCTTGGAGGGCTGTCCTCCATCCAGGCTTTCTGGGGCTGAATCCTTGGCAAGTCCCATAATGGCCAGTCACATCCCATTGGAGCCATTTTATAAACAAAACCTTGGCCTTCCACAGAAGGGGAAAGCTTTTGAACCCTTTGAATGCAGCTCATTTTCAAAAAGCTGCTCCTGTGCCAGATGCAGGGGAAATATAGTTCAGGAATCAACCAGCCTTTGGGTCCCATGACTTCCAGAGCCCACTGGAAACTGACTGGGGCCAAAGCAACACGACCAAAGCTTATGCCAAGCCTTAATCTGGTCAGAGAAGCTTCTCCCTCTTGCATGAGTGGTCAAGTGTGGGGAAACCCTGAAAGCCCTTGAATTTGCGTCCTGGCTCCGTTCTCTCTGCCTGTGGGCAAAAGGGCCCCCTTTGATTAGGGTCTGGAAAGGACGCCTCTGTCTTCTGCCAAGAAAAAGGGGTTTCGTCAGCAGGCCAGCACGTTATCTAGGTAAGTCTTCACATTATGCAAAGGATTTCATTAAGCATAACACACTTGGAAAATTGCATGCATGGAGACACACAAGCACACGATAAACAGCAAGTCAGAAACCAAAAGCATGAAGCTGACTAAACTTAAGACTTTGGAATGGTACAATTGTCTCAGTCTTGTAACCGGAAGGGGGAATGTGTTTTCTTACACGGATTTGAGATTTCTGAATTGGGGTTTGTGTTAAGTCTTTTAATTTGCCCGAGACCCTCAACTGCTTTTGCACTCATCTTTAAGGTAAGACTGCTCAAAGAGCCCTGGCTTCTCTTCTGGGAGGCCTTCTCTTCCACCCCACACCCCACAAACATCTTCCCCCAAGAATTCCTTCCTGCGGGGGGAGTGGTGGGGAAATGCATCCTCTCTGCTTCCAAAGCATGAAAGCATGGCCCCGCTCCGGGGCCATCATGCCAGTTGAGGAGACAGGCCGGACATCGGCTGCTTACCCCATCCACTCACCCACCGCAGGACCACCGTCCAAAGCTGCTCCAACCAACCGGCTTTCGTATACAAAACAGAAGGAAAAGATTTTTAACCTCCAACCAAGAGGGTGCAGCCAAAAGCCAACCCCAGAGCAGCAGAACTACAGAGACCCTGCCTCCTTCGAGCCCTCCCTGTACAGACTCCAGACATTGCCACAGGGCCACAGCTCATGTGCCTTGACTTAGGCCTGGCTGAGAAAGAAGCAGCAGCTGCTTGTTTGTAGGACCCCAGAGGTGCCAGACTACGACTCTCATCACCGTTTTCAATTAACCTAAATGACTGGCAGTTAGTCTGCATCTTCTCCCGAGAATAGGTTGAAGAGAAGGAAAAGTTATTCTAATGCCAGAGATGACTTGATTTAAAACACTCACTTTCCAGATAGACTGTGATTAAAAGAAGCCAGAAAGCACATCTAAACTCAAGAGAATCAAGCTTAATCTGGGGTTAAATATTAACTCTACATAACAGCTCTAAATAAGAGCTTAGAAATACTCTTGTATGCTCCATCTTGTTTCCTAATCGAGGTTTAAAAAATCCCCAATAACCTCTATTTCAAATGAAATGGTGAGTGGAGGAGTCCCAAGTCCCATAACAAAGACTCCCCTCTGCCTCTGGTTGTCCTGTGCACAGAGTAACGTTCTTGGCCAGAGGCGGCAAGGAGCAGGGGACCGATTCTTCAGAAGGCCTCTCCAAACCAGACGAAGACCACTAAGCAACCCTGAAGGATACCTAGCCCTACTTCATCGGAGAGGAGAGTTTCTAATTTATGGCATATCTTTCATGGTGTTCAAGCGATTACACAGAGCGCCAGATGATGCTTACACTCAACAATACAATGTTACAAAGAGAGATAAGGTTTTTTTCAAAAAAGAGTCCTAACAATGGGGAGCCAAAAACATGAGCCATCCGGAATGCTCAATAGACTTAGGGCAAAAACTAGTTTCCTATTCTTAGTCAAAACAACTCAAGGACATAAAGTTTGGGGAGATGTTTGAGGACTGTTGCCCTCAGAATGTTCTATGTTTCCACAGAATGCTGCCTTGCTTTTAAGAGATTGAAGAACTCTACATACCTGTTTCTGGCTGGCAAAAGGTATACTGGCTGCTGGAAGAGGAACCCATGTTGAAATTTTCCAAGGCCTGACCTTCCTCCTCTCCTGAGGCAGCTTCTTCCTGGCTTCCAACTTCTTCCACCTTTGGCACCTCCAGAGTCACAATATCTGAATCATCACTTACTGCTCCCACACAGGAAGTCTCATCCAGCAATTTTTCTTTTTCACCCTTGGATATAATGTTAAATGAGCAGCTTTTTATTATCAACGTGAAAAAATAAATTTATAACTCTTTGCAAGTGCATTATCAAGCTGTTAACTCAGAATTTACACACAGATGGCCTGGCTTCTATAGCCTGCTCACTGATGTACAAACAGTCTTATCAGTTGGGAGAGAAAGCTCTGAGCACAGGGCTTCCGGGGCCCAACACGCTCATATCCGGATTGGGTAAGGCCTGTTCTGAGGAAGGGCAGCACAGCTTTCCTGCACAGTGTTTCCATAGGCAGTAACTTCCCGACTTGTCCTTATCTCCTATGGCCCCAGGACGGCGGCTTTCTCCTAGTTGGAAGCCTCCAGAAATGTTGACCAGCATCTTGCAAAGAAAACCCAGCAGAGAATAAGGTGGAAGGTTGATACCCAACCCCTCCCTCCTTAATTTAGAGCACGCTCATAGGGACTCTTGTAACAAGGTCAGAGCCTGCTAGCATCAGAACAGGCAACGGAGCAGGGAGGGAAAGATCAGCTGGGCCTCCTCTTTTGGCACAAACTCTGCCAAAAAGGACGCTTGCAATGTTTCACCTTTCTCCTGACAGCTACAGATGTGAGAGGCTTTTGTCCCTACAGGTGATCTTCCAAGCCTTTTGTTGAATCATGACTTACCCCAGGAACCAGCTTGCTAGGCTCCATGGGGGGCTGGCTTGTAGCGCTCCCTGGTGCCCCATCACCCTGGCCGAAGTCAACTACAGAAGGAAGGATGAAGACACACAAGGTTGCCCAGAGCTCCAGAAATGACCCCTCTTTATGCACGTCTCTGCTCTTGCACACACTCATACTGCTCAGGCCAATCTAAGTGGGCTTATCAAGCTTTCCCCTCGAGAAACTGGACTGGACAGCATCAAGTATATAGCATGAATGTCTACTGTACCCATTGCACAGGAATCTGGCTACAACAACTTGGGAATGATTCTACTACAAATGAGACTATCTCCAAGGCTGATATAGTTTCAGCCACAAACCAGTGACCGGAACTCTGAAAAACTGCCCTGCTTTGGTGCTCCTAATGCGCCCCATTGCCATCCCACTAGCAACTACTAGCCTGTTTATGCCCCAACACAGGGAAGATCATTACAGAGCTTATCCCCAAATACCTAAGTCAAAACAAAGCTTCCCATTTCATCCCTGGCCATCCAAATCTCAGATCTCTTCCCCTTCCATGCAGCCAGACATCTCTCTGTTGGCTCAGCAATCCTCACCTGCAATTCCCAGAAGCTCTTTGGCCCAAATGAGAATGCTGCCAAGGCTCTGTGTCCAGACTCACCTTGCAAAGTGGCAGCCTGCCGCTGCTGCTCTTCCTCTTGTGTTGGAGACAGAAATTCCTCTGAAGCCAGTTCCTCGTGGCCACTTATGCTATCAGAGTCTGGTGCTGCTGCTTCAACGTCAGAGCCCTAAAAACACAAACACGCTCACTGGAGATTGAGTTGGAAGCTCCACAAAGAGTCCCCTGATAATATCAACATGTCATTGGAACCTAAGAACAGGGATGGGCAACTAGCAGTCCACAAGCATTTGCTCCCCAAATATCTTTTATTTCTCCTTTATTTGCTCCCCAAATAAATGTGGGAAGGTGGGAGGCCTCTCAGAAACAATGCAAAAGACAGAAATATTTTCCAGCCTCCCAAACTCTGCCCAACATAGCAGCAGAGCCTCCTAGACTGTAGTAGACTGCAGAAAAGGACAGAGTGAGCCACAAATGCTATTGTGGCTCTCGTTGGGCTTCTTCAGCCACTGCCTGTTTTCACCTGTTATTCTGTCTTTCTGAGTAAATGTCTGACTTATACCAAGGGCTGGTGTGTGTTTGTGTTATCCTCACGCTCTGAAAAAGGAGGAAACAGACTGCTCTAAGCCAAGATAGTCATACCACCTTCAAGCACCTTGAGACCCTGGGCTACAGGGACCTTTTCACCATCAGGAATCTGTGGAAATGAACTCCATATGGCTTTCCTGCTCCATCTGAAAACCAGAGAACACATCTGGTGCCAGAACTCAAAGGACCTGTTCTTTCTCTCTTTTATCTTATACTAGGGAGTGCAATTAGCTTCCCACCATCCTACTGCTTAAGGTCTGGCTTGCTTTGGTTCCTGAAATCAAGTCAAAACTTTGTTTTTTGTGGCAGACATCCAGGGGGCCCTCCCAAAGACTTCTCCACTTCAGAAGCTTTGATGCAAGCAGCTCCTGGGTCCCAAAGAAGGGCTTCTCCAGTGAGGTGCTTCTGTCAAAACCCCCAAAGATATCAGGGATTTTAAGTTGACTTTAACGGTGGCCTCTTGCACGATGGGGTTGCTTCCAGGTCAGCTGCGCTTGAGGTCTGGGGGCTGAAAGGCAAAGGGCCCCCAATGTGACTGGCAAGTTCTTAACAGATCTGGGGGGGCAGGAGAAGGTGTTAACAAACCCAGTGAAGGCTTGAGCGTCGCTAGGAGAGGCCAAGCCAGCAACGCCCAATCAAGGGAGGAAGAACATCGCCCCCTTTTGCAGTAGCCCCTCCAGGGCTCCGCCAACATTTCCTGCCCTGCCTGGCCCAAGAGGTGCCTCTGCCCTTCCTCCGAGGCGCTCCTGCCCCCGGGGCCAAGCACGGCAGGCAGCCAGGCCCCGAAGTCTGCCCGGTACCTCGTGGTTGATGACCGTCCAGCCACACGACGAGTCGCTGTCGCTGGAAATTTCGGACATTTTGAAGCAGCTGGAAGGAAAAGAGACTCTTCAGCGAGCGGCCTTCTCCCTCTCTGCCAGGAACAGGACCTGGGCGGCCTTTCGACGCCGACACCTCCCCTAAGGCCGCCTGTCCGGAGCCGGCGCCGCCGCGGGAGGGGACGCGGGCCGGGCAGCGCCGGGGCACAGGAGTAGGACCGGGCTCTCCACCCTTCGCCTCCCCCGCGCAAAGCCGGCGCGGCTCCTGCCCTGGGGCTCAGCGGGCCCTGCACGCCCCCCCCCCCCCCAGGGCCGCGGGGAGCAACGGCCCTCCGCCCCGGGGCGCCTTTCCTCCCGTGCGAAGAGGGCGCTCGGCGGGGCAGACCGGCCAGGAGGCCGCGGGCGGCCTACCTGCTGCAGCGGCGCAGCGACCGGCGGCTTCCCCTGCTTCGCTAGAACAACAACCGGGGACCGGAAAGGCGACGCCGCTGCGCCTGCGCCTCCCGTGGGGCGTCCGCCGGGAAGCGTAGTCCGCCTCCGCCCGGCGTTGCGGTAGGCTGGCCGCTGCGGAACTACACGCCCCAGGGGGGAGCGCGGCCGGGGGCAGCGTCGCGCATCAACAAAGGGCGGGGCCGGGCCGTTGCCCGGGCGACGCGGAGGGCGGCTCGCCGCAAAGGCCTCCTCCTCCTCCTGCGCTGCTGCTGCCGGGCCAGATGGCCGCCGGGGGAGCCTGGCCGCGGAGCGTCTCCGGAGCCAACCCGGGCAACCCTGTCTTCACGTGCCTGGCGGACGCGCGGGCGCTGGTGACAGGCACGCCCCTGAGCGCGCCGGTACCGCTGCTCTACAAGACCACCGCCGGCGATTACGGCGCCCTGCGCCCCACTTCGGCCACGGCGCCCTGCCGCTTCTGCCCACTGGAGAGCGCCTTCACCGCCCACCTGGCCGCCGCCGGGCCGCCGCAGCACAACGGGATCAACACGGGCGCCGACCGCTCGCCGGTGTAGCCCCCCTCCGTGCCCCGCCCGCCCGCCCGCCCCCGCAGGGAGAAGAGCGGTGGAGAGGCGAAGGCGGCAGAAGGAGGAGAAGCGGCTTTATTGGGCTTGTCGGGAGTGAGGAGGCTCCAGAGGGAGCGGAGGACGCCCAGTCCAAAAACATCTTCTAAACTTGCCAGAAGAATTTTTCTACTCGTTGCCTTGAATTATGCGCCGAATCTTCTCCACATCCTGTCCTATATTTTTATCTGTAGGCTCGATCTTGAGAGCAGCCAGATAATCTTGAAGGCCTAGAATAATTTTAGCACCCATAATTTAGCTTGGAAGCCACACCACCTGCGTCAGAGCATTAACAGCCTTCCTGAAAATAGCTTTACACCCGGGTAAGCCTAGGATCAGGGTCAACTCCTCAGACACCCAGCATTGGGGCTTCCCAGCCTCTTAATATGACGAGAAGAATATGTGAAGTTTAGTAGAATACAATTAATTTAATCTAAATACAAAATACCAACCCCATCTCCACAATTAGCATTTTATAAATAATTCCAAAATTATAAGCTAGATTCCCAAATCACATTTCACAAATAACAATGAAGAATGTAAATGGGCAAAGCTATATTGGTGGTGATGGTTTTTTTTTTTTTTAAATAACAGATTAATATATTTTTTGGCATACACCATATGGAACTTATGCACATTTTTCTCTGGGAGAGACACTAAGCTAGAACAATACAACTGACAGGAAGAGCCTGAGAAGAAAAGAATGGCCACCTCATAAAAGACTGATGCAAGAAAGCAGCTGATTCTTAAGTTCTTAATGAAGCTTTGCAGGCAACAGATTCACACAGGACTAAGCTTGGAAAAAGAAAGGATTTGGAGTTTGGCAGAGGAACAGTTGTTCTGAGTCTAGAAAATAAGATTCTCTCTTCCCAATTTCCCATAAACTGAAATATTTTACATAAATAATAATTTTAATATTAGCTCATTTCTACTGGTTTCAAGAAGCACTGCGATTAAACCTACATTTAAACCTACATTAAACCTTTTTGTAAGGAGAAAATGACAGCAATATAATGAAACAAAAATAAAAGTAGAGGCATTTTACCTTTCAAAGACTCCCCTTCCTTACCTTCTGTATACAATTCCAGTTCACAGAATGCTGTCCCACGCCTTAGGTGAGCTTTTAATCTTGCCTTGGCATTGTTGGAAACCGGAGGGGTGAGCAACTCCAAGGCCTGGCCAAATAAAATGTACAGATGGAGTGTGAACTAACCCATCTTTGTTTCTAAGTACATCATTTAGGTCCTTGCTATCAGTTCAAGAGCACAAATATATCCTCTTTAAAGGCAACCTGTAGTGGAAGCTTCATAAGTGGATCACTTGATACAAAAGGTGCCCTCTACATTTGAGTGGAATTTATCTCGGATAGGAACTATGCCTTTCCTGCCAGCTCTGATGTGGTGGGCTGATGTAACGGGGAAAGGGGATCCCTCAGATAGCATGGTCCCATGCTACAAAGGGCTATAAAGGTCAAATACCTGAGAGGCATCCTCAATTACTTTATGTAGATTTCTCAGCCTCAGATGGCAAGCAGCTCGATTCAAATATAAGGTTGGTATCTGGCTATTAATACGAATTGCCAAGTTGTAAGCATTGACGGCAGCCAGGTAGTTACCGGTTTCAAACATTTTGCTAAAAAAAAAATAACCCATGTGAACAAAGGAATAGCTACTGCATTTCCAACAGGGCTTAAAACTTTGACATCTTTACTAAAGAACCATAAACTGATTGTGTCAACCACCCACTTATTTAGTAAGAGCTGAACATATTTACAGGGCTTTGTGACTCAGCAAATGTATTTTTCTACTTATTGACAGCACACACACATAAATACACTGCTGACTCCATAAGGTTTACAAGACACTTAAATAGAAGACTTACAACCAAACGATAACCTATCTTGGTATGCATATATGGCACACCCCATTTCGTTATAATTAACGAAAAGCCCAGTTACACAATGACTGCCTTGAAAATGCTGTGGCATAGGGGAGCACTCAGGAGCTGCTATTCTGGTTGCTTAAGGAAGAAGAATGCAGGAGAGAGAAAGCTGTATACTAATGAATATTGAAGCCCAACAAACTGGCCCTCTTCTCCCCCAACTCTAAGCCAGGGATCCCCAACCCCCAGGCTGTGGACTTGGCACTGGTCCATGTCATGCCAGAAACAGGTCCGTGCAAACAAAGTCCCATCTGCAGGATGCAGGCAACACACGAAACCCCGCCCCCTCTCCACGGAACCAGTCCCTGGTGCCCAAACGGTTTGGGGCTGCTGCTCTAAACCATAGTGGGTTTTGGAGACCACCTTTGGGAAGTCCATTCCAAACTCACTTTCCCTTGTCTTTCAACCACTCTGGGTCCTTTTCCTCTTCTTTTAAATCCTCGATCTCAGCAATATCTGCATTTATTATCCTGCGAGCCTCTGCTTGTTTACATAGCCACTGCAAATAAAAGACACACACACAACATCAGCTAGATGCTCCTAGGTAAACTATCAGAGAAGCATGGCTTCAAAACAAGCTCTTCCTGCCTAGGATTCTACTCAGAGAGGCTCAACAGATTCCATCCAACTAGTAAAACTCGTTGCTGTTGACATCCTGCTCTTGCAGAGGCTGCCTCTTCTCCTGGGATTTCTGTTAACAGAAAAAGAATCCCTGAAGAGAAATGACATTTCTCTAGATGTTGTATTTTCCCTACTTTATGTCAAAGTTTGCAGTTACAATGTTTATTTTTGTGATCTACAATTAGCACAGTAAAGCATTGCTCACATAGACATCATAAAATCTCTCTAACTGGTCTCCCTTAAACATTTTTTCTTCAGGTATAGCTTTTTATTTTCTAGCATTTTGTCTCCAAGACTGTATTGCTATTGAGGGGATGCCAGTCCTTCTACATAGGCCTAGTCAGGAAATATATTCTACATGTTTGTCTGAACAAATACTTATGCTTCTGTAACTGTTCCTATAGGGTGTCTTCAAGGCTCTGTGGCTCTCTACAGGTAGTGCAGTGGTGTTGAAGATGCATTCCTGATACTAATTTTCTTTGCCAGAGCATTTAATAAGACCATCCCCTTTCCCTGGGGCTATGACTTCAAGCCATGCCTCATGAAATATTTTGGAGCATTTATTCCAGATCTGCAGGGTAAAGGAAGGAGAGTATCAACTGGGAAAATCTTATTCTTCACAAGCCATTACAATTCCTCACTGTTTTATGGGGCATGGCCCAAGACAAATTGCTGGTGCCTTTCCACGCAAGGACACTGAATATTTTTTCAACCTTGGTGTTGAAAAGTAGTGGAGGAAGCAAGCACTATCTCTTTTCCAATAACATGCTAGAACTCCTCTGCCTGCCAGCACCCCATGGCACAAAGCAGTCAAGCCCCCTACCTCTTCCTCCTCTGGGATTCGTGATTCTCTAAGGGCTGTTGGAAAGACACGAGGTGTAAAATGTATCATAATGCTACCAGGAGGACGTGGAGAAGGAATTGAATCTTCCTTTATCTTTTCTGAAAACATATTTCCATAATTTCCACCTGTAATAGTCAAACACAAAAGCTGTTTAATGCTATATTCCTGTTCATGGTTAATAGTAGCAATAAGGGGGGGGGGGGGGGAGGAGTCCAGCCACAGATGTTTCTTATTTCTGATATTTATAAAGCAAATGTCTGCAGATAACAAATGCAAGAAGATTGAAACAAGTGAGTTAGGGAGGAGATAGACTGAGATGCTTTGCCACATTTTTGCTCCTGCTGGGGCTTAAAGCATGCTTTTGAATATGCAACCATCACAGACTTGGTCTGGTTTCCCCAAGGTGAAATTACTGCAGAACATCACTACAAAATTTTTTGAAAAATGCTTTGGGATAGTTATTTGTGCATTTTTGAAAGGATTGTATTTTTAGTTCACATTATATGTTGTGAATCTACACACTGAAATTCAACATGGAAAGCTTTTGATTTTTTTTAAAAAATATTTTAAACAGCCAGACTAGAGCAAAAAGACTGCAGTGTCCCATGAAAGGAAGTGCCATGAGAATGTTAATACCTTTAGCTAATGCTCCTGATGTGGACACTCCCTTTCCAGCAAAAGATCCCAAGTTCTGGCATTCTTTTATTTCTCGGAGAACTTCTGTATTTCTGTCTGGCAACTGGAATTTAGTACATACTTTCTTTTGCATCTCATTCTGCCTTTTCCATGCTTCAATCTCCTCAGTGCCTTTTTTCCGTTCTTGTTCTTTTAGCTCTTCTATTCTTTTTCTTTCTGCTTCTTCTAGCTGTTTGAATGATAGGACATTCATTCTGAAATTATTATTCTGTTAAGGGGCAAGTTTCCTCATTAACAACTTATCAGGCATGTAATTAAGATTCCCACTTTCAGAGGCACAGTTTTCAGAAGGCCACAGGGAAGTTAAATACAAGGCAGAATCTAGAAGTAGAGGAACAGCCTGCTCCGTAAAACTCAAAGGCACCTGCATCTCTTCTCTACAGTATCATCTGAGCATATGCAGAAATGCATCTGATTTCTCACAGCAAAAGATAGTTACTGAACTGCTAGTTTAATTCTTCATCCACCTACTGATAGTATAATACCTCATTTCCAGAAGCATTTCAGTATTAGCCTTTTATTTATTAATTTTAATAAGCTTATGAGTTGCTCCAATCACAAATGACTGAGCTGCATGTGCAATATACACAGATATCGCTAGCACTTAAGAGTGAACTAGGTGGAGAGTGGATGTTCACCAGAATTGATAACCCATCCAATGGGTGCTAGGAAAAGCAAGAGTTGCACTCCAATGAAAAGGAGGTGAGTGAGAAGGTAGAAAAAAAATGGAGGACGCAAGTTGAGTGAAGAGCCTGAGGACTATGAACAGCTGTGGGGAAACAAGTGTAATGGGACAAAGGAAATTAGAGTTCAACTGTTGTAGAAAGAATAGAGGCCCAGTTGGCCCAGACTCGAGAAGAGTTATAATAAGGACCAAAAGGTGTGCCAGGGAATGAAGCTGCCATGGCTTGAGAAAGAAGAATAAAGAATCGGCTATGGGGGTTCAGATGCGAAAATACAAGGCCAGCAAGATGTAGAGCTTGGACACAACAGCATGGTAAAGCATTGTCGTGGTCTGTAATTAAAAGACCCTTATTTGAGGAATGGTTCCACGGCCCATAAAGTAGAAAGGCCAGACATGGGTTTGTAATTGGGGGGGGGGGGGGGGGAGGACAGAAAAGGAAGGAGGAAAGATAAAGACCGCCAAGAAGAGGCTGATGATGGGTCAGAATCCTAAGGCTAGAAAGCAAACTAAGCTTTCACCTCCTGGGAAGAGGGCCATTTACCTTGATGGTGGCATCCAGAGCAAATCTGCCGCGTTCCCGTTTCTCTGCAGACTTCGCCGCTGCTTTCGCTCGGGCCTCCTCCTGAGCTTGGCCGACGGCCTCTTCGCGAATTTCCCGCATCTTTGCTTCGTTCCCTGAAAAAGCCGTTCCAGCTGGGAAAGGGGCAGAAGACAGAAACCGGCCGCACGGAGGGATTTGGGTAGGACCCCCCCCCCCCCGCGCAGCCGAGCCCCGCCCCGCCGCCCCTCACCGTCTTCCGCCCGCAGCGACGCCCACGGGGCCGCCTCCTTCTTGAGCAGGGTGAAGACGACGCAGCCATCCCGGATCTCGGCGCGGCTGCGCTCGGCGTCGATGGGGGCGAAGAGCGCGGCTTCGAAGAGCAACGGCGGCGCGTTCACCTGCGGGAGGCGGGCAGCAGCGGGTTACCTGGCGTCCGCCGGGCCTTCCGGGCAGCGCCCTCCGGGCCGCCCCTCGAGCCCACCTTGAGGTACCGCTCCGTGCAGAAGAGGCCGTGGGGGCGGAGGCGGCCGGCCCGCAGCGGCACGGTCAGGCGCACGGCCTCGGACGTCTGCTCCCAGCTGAAGTCGCGCACCCAGACGGGCATGGCGACCGTTGCCCGGACGCTGGGAGCCAGAAGCGCCGCCCCTCCCGCAGACTTCCGCCGGAAGCCACTCTAGCCGCTTGCGCCGGCTCGGGCTCGCCGCGGTAAGTCTGTACTGCCCGGGCTGTTATTCGTTCGACGCCGCTGAAGGGAGGCGGACGGTGTCTCGCCACCCATTTCCCAGAACAGGACATAAATTCCACGAACGACAAAATACATCAAAAACCGGTTTAATCACTGGCGTCAGATCCTCTCAGCTCGCCATCCATCCACAGCGAAACAAAAACGTCATTCCTATACCTAGAGTAGCTCACACAGGCACCATGATATGAAATCATTTGTATTACATAGTAATTTCATTTCTTACTAGGGGAACAATAACGGACAAAGTTTGGGAGATTGATTCCAATTTGAATTACATCAACTTTGCCACGCGTCACAGTCCTGTTGCATGTGTTATTTCAGACATGCCCGACTATTATTTTAAAAGTTGCTGGAAAAATAAATGTCACCAATGTGGAACACATTTGAGGTATAAAAATTACTCAACTGATATCCCAAAAACAGGTATAGGTAAGCATACATAAGAAAAGACATGTTTTAATATGAAACAGTAATTAAATCACAACCCAAAAGACACATTGCCAAGTATGTATGTTACACATTACTAGCAAGCAAGGCTCTATATATGAGGTTCACATATTTAAACATGAATAGCAACATTTCTATCAAAAATAACATGAAAAACAAGTCACTGATTTTTTTTAAATATCTCAGAACTGAACATCCACATTAGGTTATTTAAACATCCCCACAATTTGTAAGTGTGAAATGTTATTCCACACATAATTAGGGCACAAACAGATGAGAAAAAGGGATGGAGTTCATAAGTTATGTTCTTTCAACTTGGGTGGCTTCTGTGTCCATTTGGGGGGGGGGGTTGAGCAGTGGCCTCCCCCAGCACAGGGCAGAATGAGCAGCAGCAGCAGCAAAACCCCTGCCTGCTCCGAGACTACTTTGGACCAGCTAATAGATGGCCAAGTGTTTTAAAGCCATAGAAATACCTGAACGAGGAATGGGGGAGAACTAGTCACAACAGGGATAGTGCTTGTCCTTCCCCAAATTCCAGGAGCATGGAAGCTAGAATTGGTAACAGAAGGCCTCGAGATACCTACTAGATTTCTAAATAGACTTCCATCACTTACTTCTGGATTAAGTTGTCCAAATTATTATTTTTGCTCCAATTGTTTCCAGACCAGAAATACAGATCCATTCTGATTTATCTCCAAAACAAGGAATGAAAAAAAGAGCTTAGTGTGGTGTTTATTTGTTCATTTCATTTTTTTTATTGGATTTATTTTCATAGCCATGAAGGCATTTGCCATTTGTTCAATGGAGATTCTAGAATTCCCAGATTGTATGGTCACAATCAAATTTTGGATTCATCTACATAGCTGTATTACTGTGGTGGTTATTATCCGGGAGACTTTCCCACTGCCTGGGATGGCCCACCAGATTTCCTCAAGAAGAAGGAGGGAAACAGTATGAGTTATGTTCCCATCCAGAAAGGAACTGGCAATGTGTGCCAGTTTTCCACCAACTTCTCCTGTTTTTAGGCAAGTACCTGGAAATCCAAGTCCCATCTGAGAGGTCAAGATGGTTTCAAAAAATGGCCACTGGGCTGCAGGGAAGGTTGGGACATGTAGCCCCTCTCCCATGAATGGTGACCATGTGGTTGCTGCTACTCCTCTCAAGATGCTTCTATAGGATTGTCCCTCCTTATCCTAATCTCCAGGATAAAACTCTGCAATCATGCTGGTAAACACACCCCCCCCCCCCCAATGGCTGGTAGCCATGTTGATTGGGATCTTACACTCAATTATTACCTGCCAGGGGGTCAGCAAATGGCCACAGTGGCCACCTCTGTACCTGGCATTTCAGGGAGAAGGCCTGCATGTATGCTATCAGGCACTGAAAACCTGGTTCTTGAGGACCCTTGTTTAAAAACAGACTGCTTGAAACTGACAGAAAGTGAGAGCGAGAGATAACTTTTGGATCTGGATCTGTTTATTGTAAAGGCCCTGCACATAATTCTAATGTGATCAGAAATAGGCACTATAAAAATAGCAGAATTCAAAAACACTAGCCAGGTTACCCTCACTAGATAAATTCCAGCTCACATACAAATCATTTCCCAGGGATACCCGTAGAAGAATAACTGCTTTGTTTTCCTTCTGGGATGGACAGTCTACCTTTTCAACTGGAGAAAGCGCAGAAACAGAGTAAGAGATTGACAGGTACTAATAATATATTGCAATATTATGGTTCGTCCACTGCATTCTATCAGCAGAGTGAAGAGTTTTGCAAAAGCAGCCCTTTCGTAGGCCTAAACCTCACCATCAAGAAGAAAGCTTTTCCTCAAGTTCTTCTGATGAAAACTGAATGCACTTGGGCAGATAACAAAATGTGTGGAAAGATGGGAGTTTCATAAACCATGGGGGGAGCGGATTAGCTCAGGCATCGGTGTTCAGGGCTGGTAGTCCTGCCATTTCCCTGGTGCGCATCAGCTGCACGTCCTTGTCTGCCATGCAAATATCACAGCCCCAGACTGCCGAAGCCTCTGCGGTCAGCAGACCATACGCCGACTCTGTCATGCCTGTGCAGATCCGGTGGAACCATTTCTGACAGGAGGCTTCACAGAGGATGGCGTCCTGATCATCATTCACCTCGTGGGTACAAATCCCACATGGATAAAGTGGCTCAGAGGGCAAGTGGCCGTGCTGAGGGGGGTGCAGTGGGGTTTTGCTGCCACTGCCACCCCACCCAGCCTTCTCGGAGCTGCTTCCCTCGGGACGTCCACAGGGCAGGCAGGGTTTAACGGGGGTCCCATTCGCATGGGCACTCTTCAGGTTTTCCATGCGCTTTGGCAGGACCCCCTCGGGAGTGCCCGCTGGGGCGTGCCTGTGCCCACTGGCCTTTACATCCCTGCTTCCTGAGCTCAGCGGGTCCTCTGACCTGAGCAAGGTGTGGTGGTGCTGCTGGGATGGGGGTTGGTGCTTGTTAACCTCCAGCTTCGTGAAAGCTTTCACCTGCTTGTAGTAGGTGGGTGGGCCGGGAGTGTAAGAGTGGTTGGGCTCTGTCAGGGAGCTGCCAAAGGCCGGGTTGGGGCCGGCCCCCAAATGCCCGGTGGAGGGAGGCGTGGGGCCAGCGTTCTGCGAGGGCATGTGGCCGAAGTTTTCTCCCTGGTTGGGACGGAAAGGCTGGCCGGGCCCGGGCAGGGCTTGGCTGGCGCTGTAGAGCTGGTGGCCGAAGGCCGCAGCGTTCTCGGGCGGCCCGAAGGTTACGGCCGGAGCCCTGCTGAAGGCCGCCCCCGCCGGGCTCTGGCCAAAGGGTGGCGGCTGGTGGCGGAGCGGGAAGGCGGGAGCCCCGCAGGGAGAAGCCACTCGGGGCAGCAGATGAGGCGGCATCCTGAAGGCGTTGTAGCCCCCGAAGGCAGGGTACACGGGGCCGGCGAAGTAGGGGCCCCTCACGGGCTTATAGGCGGCGGCGGCGTAGCGGTCGTCGAAGGGGTTGACGGCGATCAGGTATTCGGCGCTCGGGTTGGCCGGCGGGGCGTACTCGGAGGGAGGTGCGGGGAAGGGGGCGCCCTGCGGGGGGCGAGAGCAGACCCCTGAGCCCTGCGGGAGGGCGGCCCCCGCACCGAGGCCCAGCACCCGCCTCCCGCCCCCCCAGCGCCGGCCCGGGCCAGCAGGAAAGCGGGCCGGCGCCCCGGCTTACCTGTGCGCCGCCCTTGTGCTTCTTCTCGGGGCTGCCCAACTGCAGCCCGGCGCCCGCCAAACCCTCCAGGCCGCCGTCCACCCCTGCAAGAGCCGAGCGCAAGCTCCGTATCGCCGCTCTGGGGACGCCCCTTCCCCCCTCCCCGCCCAGGCCACGGCACCCACCTCGGGGCCTCTTGAGCGGCGCGCCGGGCTCTTGTTCCGCGGACATCGCCGGCGTAGCATGGCGGGCCGCCCCGCCGGGCAGACGCAGCACCCCAGCAGCCCCGACCCGGCGACCGCGATGCGCAGTCCGGCCCCTCCGCCAGCGGCGCGGACCCTGCCCGCGCCTGCAGCCGCTCGCGGGTTGGAGGTTCGGGGACGCTGCTCCTCCTGAGCTCCCCACCCAAGGAAGCGCTCCGTTGGCCGACCCCCGAGATCTCCTGCCCGCCCGCCCGCCGCTTCAGAAGGGGCCTGCGTGCGAGGCGGTTCCCGGCAACGGGCGGAATCGGTGGTCGGTGGCGTCCTGCCCTGGTTGCTTGTTTCCCCCAGCCGCCCGGGGCCCTGCCGCGTTTGGAAAAGGACAACGGAGCTTTCCAAAGGAAACAGGCCGCCGGTTACTACAGGAAACTTTTATTTCAACTGTGCAATCCATCTGTGTAAGACAGGAGTTTCATAAACATTTTGGCATTTAAATTTCTACTCATTTTTGGCATGAAATTTGTGCTAGCATCAGGACAAGCCTGGGAAAGGATGAAGGGAAAGAGGAAGGACACAGGTAAACATTCACTATGCTATCAAAAGGTTTTTGTTTTTTTTTAAAAAAAAGCACATTAAGCAAAATGTTTTTTAAAAAGACATCTTAAAAGGTACATTCATTATCAGATCATCACCAACTGTCCTCACGCAATGGAGGTCACAGAGCTGATCCCCTGAGTCAAATATAAAATTAATATAATTCAGCTCGATTCCCCCATTGGCCGGCCAGCTGCGGACGACCCTTCAAGAAAATAGCAGGAGTGGCAAGAGCCAGAACACCCTTGGCCAAAAGGCCTCGCTGGACTCCCACACTGGCAATTCATTCACATCTTCAAGAATACAAGGAAGCTAATTTGTTTTAAACGGCCATTTAGCAAAGTGCCAGGCCTGATGAGGAGGGGCTCTGTGTGTGCAGTGTAAGAGGACTTTGGGGCAGGGGGATTACTAGCCGGTGGAAGCTTCATGTGCCAAGTTGCTCAAAAAGTTAGGAGTCAGCAAAGTACACACCAGTGATGAGGTTCACACTTACTCCAATGCACAGCTGGAATCCAGATGTGATTGATTTCAGATACTTCAGGGACTACCTTTTCCCTCTTCCAAATAGATGGAAAATGAATTCAGGGCTTTACCCCAAGGTGTTGCCACCCATTTTGAGATGCAAGGCAAGGCAGCCAGGGTGTGTGAGAGGATGCCCTGGTGGTGCCATTGTAACTCCCTTTTCCTGAGGCGTCACTGCCCTACTTTTGGGGTGAGGTGTTACTTGAGAACAAGAGTAAAAGCAGCAGCAAATGTGTCACAGAAAAACAGAGCAACTCTTGTGGTAATGATGCCAGCTAGGGTTCTGAAACACCCCGAGGTTGAGATGGAAAAACATAAAACTCTTTTAAAATAGATAATAATCTCAGGATAGTGTTCAGAACAAAATTAAGACAGCTGTCTTAAACCTGAAACTTGGGATAAGGGTCTCCCAAACAAACGGAAACAAGATTTGCCAAACCTGCCATGATTGGTGAGATTCACAAAATGCATGCTTCATACACAATGCTTGCAGATCACTGTGGCCGAGCCCACATAGCTCAGTTGTGCCCTCCAATACAGGTCAGGTTTCCCCCCCACCCCCGGTGCCTGGGGTAGGGGGAGAGCCACATTCAACTGCAAACCGCACACAGAGACACCTTGTGCACCTGACCTGGCTCTTTTTTTGGCACTGCATGGACATTTATTCCCTGTCCTTCACTCAAGGGGCGTTTTACTGCTCTTCAGAATAGAGGACATAGTTACAGATGTTTCCATGAGAACCAACTTCTCCACCTGTGCAGGTTGCTGATGGCACAAACTCAGAATATGCACTTGGGTGGGGGGGGGGCTGCAATTCAGGTCATACTTCCAAATGCTTTCTTGGATGTCCCAGGGAACTGATGGGGGTAGATTGCCCCTTAGGTCCCCCTGCATTCAAAAGAAGATGGAAGGAAAGAAACCATTTTGCTAGGAAGCATCCACAGGTCCTTCTGGTGAGAGTCACCCTCAACCTCCACCCCACACTAACCTAGGTTTTCCCTATGATGAGGGAAAGATCATTCACACACACACACACACACACACACACACACAGAGCCTCGGTGGTGGTGGGCATCTGAAAAGATAATGTCAATTCAAAACAAAACAACAAAAACAACAAAAGTAAAGGTCACCTAGCATAGGCCTCTACATCGAGGTAGCCTTAAATATCTTTGGTTTTCTTCATTTGCTGCTCTGCAACCTTGGACACAAACGATTTCCAACTTGCAAATCTCCCTCCCTCTCTTGAGCTGCTGCTCTGGCAATTCGGGAGAAAAGGACCCTCTACGGGAAAAGGGGAAGACCCAATAAGGCCACCGAGCCCCCCCCCCCTCCTGGGCCAGGATGCCTCTGCTCCAGCCCCACCTCTGCGTGAGGCCAGGCTCCGCCAAAGGGCTCAAGGGACAGGGCGCATCTTCAGCTGCCAGCCACCAGAAACAAGAATGCCCTGGCACTGCCTCATCGTCCCCAGAGGTGGTCCAAAAGTGTCAATATTCACAGCAAACAAGTCTTTGGAGAAAGCTCAGCACAGCGGGCCTTGAAACTCAGCAAGCTGCCCACCTGAGCAGACGTCGTTGATGGTGTGGCAGGCTCAGCTTTGGCCAACAAAACCTCCCAATCAATCTTTGGCAAAGAATTTCCTTTTCTTCAACAAGTATAAATGAACATTCAGAAATATTCTCTCTGCTACTTAATAGAACCGCCGAAGAAAAGGAAAACAAAATTACACTTAAAGTCTTCGGAGCTGAGAGGGTCTTATTCCAACTGTTATAAAACAGTTCTGGCAGCAACAACACTAAAGATCACTTTGTAAAACCACCTAGTCCACTCCTAATCTCCATTTGGTTTTCGGCTCCCTTGGGTTCATATCTACTTAGGCATTAAAATTATTTAATCCTGCAGATTTTAACTATCTCAATTATCTTTTGCAGAAAATATGAAGCTTGCTTCTCCTTTCCACAAAACATTCTTTGGTACAAGATTAGTATTTTCTTTAAAGGCTTTGCATCAAAAATGGTGGAAAAGACAGTGTTGGCCTGGCCAACACTCTCAGCTGCCACAGCAGCCTCTGGGCTCTTGCAAGGCCACAGGCCAGCCCCAAAGTGGAGCAGGGAGAGCTGGGAGGGGGACCGTCGGTCCTCTCACTAAGCCTCCCACCCTTCAGATCCACAACCAGCCTCTCGTGTCCTAAATGGATATTTCCTGTCACCTGCAAGAGACCCACCTGGGAGTCACATCTGGAAAGTTTGCCAAACCTTTTCTCAATGGAAACAGGAGGGAACTGTACCAGCTAGCTTACAATTGTGGTGAATATGACCTCTCTTTTGCTCACCATCTCATTCACTCGCTAACTTTAGAACAAAACAAAACATGAGATACCCTGTCAGTTTGCCTTACAACACGCAAGACAGCTTAAAAGGAATAAACTGAACCCTGAGCAGGAAAACAATAACACTAGAATAACTTTAAAAAAGAGGTAGTATATAAAACAAGAGCTGTGTGGGAACCAAGAGGATGCTCCACTGTGCCTTTAGGGGAGAGGGGCTCTGTCCCAGGCTAATGGGCTCCCGTGCTCAGGACCAGCCAGGGAAACTAATGGGGGATCCGCATCCTGACTAGCAGAGCACAGGTAAGGCCTCGTTCTGGACTCCAAAGGAACTTCACAAGTAAGGCAAGCAGTGAGTTCATAACTATCTAATGGAAGGCACCGTTACTGCCAGAACATTTGGGGGAATCATCTGGCCAAGGGAGCACAGCAGAGGCGGACAGCCCACCCCTCCCATCTCCCCAGCTGTGGTCTCCAGAGGAAGGCACTGACAAGGCAGGTGGGACCCTGGGGCCCCAGAGCTACCTGCAGCCTCTGCCCTGCCGGCCCCTGGAGAGACCTTCTTTGGGGATCGTTGTGCCCGAGGCCAGTGGGGCAGCCCCCTCTGCTTCCCAACACAACTCCTTGGCTTGCTCTCCATACATTCAGGGAAAGGACGCGGGGCTGCCAGGAAGGGATCACCAGACTTTCAGCCACAAGCAAATGAGGTAGTGTGGTTGCTTCCTTTGGCGTCTGCCTTGGCAAGCTGAGGTAGATGCTCAAGCAAAGGGGGCACCTTTGCTCCAGTGACAGAGAGGAGGGCCGCCCTGCTCTCCTCCTTTCACATTTTTGCACACTGGACATTCAGGAGGGAAAGAAAAGACAAGGAGGCGGTGGAAACACGGGTTGCCTGATGGTCCTCGGGCATCCCACGGAAACTTTGACCTCCCAGTTCATGGCTCCCTGCATGATGTCCCATTGCTACTGCCAGCCACCGGTGGCTGGAGAGGCCTAGGGACAGGACAGCTGGCTGCCAGGTGTGAGTCGCTGCCTGGGAAGGAATCTGCAGCTCCAAGGCCGGGAGGGGGGTGCAGTTCCTCGTTGGACTTGTGGGAGAACCGTCCCGAATCCCCAGTCTCGTGGCTGCCTTGGCTGTGGGCTGAATGCTCTGTGTCGGTTCCCAGGCTGCAGATCCTTCGGGTACTTGGCTGCTGCTCTTCGCCAACCAGCATGGCTGCCCTCGACCGGCACAGGAAGGCTGCCGAGGCCAGCTGCCTCGGGGCCTGCGGGAAGAACAAGAGCTGGATGGTTGACGCCCCTCCCACTGAACGTGGCCCACTCCCCCTGCAGTTCAGCTTTGGGAATGGAACCTGCCTCACTAGCAAGTAGCCTTCTTGGGAGGAAGGGCCCGGCTATTCGTGGGCCGGCCTGCTGAGACACCTGGCCTTGCTGGGCAGGGACTGGTCCTTGCACATTACCAGCTATCTGCGACGGAGGAGCTGAAGGGAATAAGATTTCTCCAAAGAAGCAGGAGAAGTCAAACAAGGAAGTTCTGGCAGCGTTGCTGAGGGTGCAGAGAGCCCCGGGGTGCCAGCTGGAGTGGCCTGTCCCGGCACAAGCCCAGGTGCCTTAAAGGTCCCTTGCCAAGCCAGTTCCAACTTCTCAGGGGCCTGACCTGCCCTCTGCTCTGGCAAAGCCTACTGGGCTCACAGGATGCCTCCAATGG